TGCATATAGGATCTGAACATATGATCTTCCACCAAATAAACCAACTAGCATCAACTACAAGGAGTAATTAACACTACTAGCAACCCACAGGTACTAATCCCGGACTTGGAGACAAGAATTGGATACGAGATGAACTAGGGTTTTGAGAGGAGATGGTGCTTGTGAAGATGTTGATGGACATTGCTCTCTCCCGATGAGAGGAGCGTTGGTGATGACGATGGCGATGATTTCCCCCTCCCGGAGGGAAGTTTCCCCGGCAGAACAGCTCTGCCGGAGCCCTAGATTGGTTCCGCCAAGGTTTTGCCTCGCGGCGGCGGAGTCTCGTCCGGAAAGATGGATTGTGATTTTTTTCCTCATCGAAAGACTCCATATAGCAGAAGATGGCCATCGGAGGGCCACCAGGGGGCCCACGAGGTAGGGGGCGCGCCCCCCACCCTCGTGGGCAGGGTGTGCCCCCCTGGTGAACTTCTTGCGCTTAGTATTTATTATATATTCTGAAAATGACTTCCGTGAAGTTTCAGGACTTTTGGAGCTGTGTAGAATAGGTCTCTAATATTTGCTCCTTTTCCAGCCCAGAATCCCAGCTGCCGGCATTCTCCGTCTTTATGTAAATCTTGTAAAATAAGAAAGAATAGGCATAAGTATTGTGACATAATGTGTAATAACAGCCCATAATGCAATAAATATCGATATACAAGCCTGATGCAAAATGGACGTATCACAAGGGCCTGCTCGCTTGCGCTCGCCTCGGCCTGGCTCGCAAGAAACTGCCGGTCTGAGCGTTTCCAGCGAGCCAGGCCCAGAGGTGCTTTAAGTTCCGTGCAATGCAGACCCAACAGTGTATGTAGCCAACCAAACAGCATGTTTCCTTCCCGTGCGGGCCTGGTTAGGCCTTATGCAGGCAACCAAACACGCCCTATGTAGACATAGTACTACCTACTAGCTATAGGCTCCGATCGGCCGGTTCACGGTCACTTCACTCCGGTTGTAGACGATCGAGATACGGACTAGCGCATGTTAGACATAGAGATATTTTACATACATCATTGTTGCGGTATTTAACATCGCGATCACCATAAACACAGGGGAAATTCCAGTTTACTCAAGTTGAAAACTCATGTCTGCTTTTTTTTGAGACACAAAAAACACATGTCTGCTGCCACTTTGGCGCCCGACTACTACGAAGATGTCGTGTACAATGCCAGCCCAATATGCGCGATCACCAGTGGTGGAACCTGCTTTGTGTGGGATCCTAAAACATAGGCTTAGGGCATGATAACCAGTGCCTCCACCGATCATATCTGTTGCGCATAGGCTTTCTTTGATGAACTGTACAGCCGGTGCGGGGTGGGGGTGGGGGGTGTTGGATCATGGGGGGTGAAAGCCGCGTGCACTACTAGGGAAAATCCTAAAAGTAGCGTGGGTTAAAAGCCTAGCAATAGCGTGGGCATCCGCACTACTAGTATGACACTATTTTAACAGTAGCGCCGGTGCCTCCTCGCTACTGCTATCCATATATAGCAGTAGCGCGTTTCAGAATACCGAGCTATTACTAAAAGCTGCAGCATCATTTTTTATAACGCGCTACTGCTAAGGCCGTGCTACTGCTACACACATACCCTATGCTACTGTTATTATTTCCTGATTTTTTCTGCAGCGTATTTACTCTGTCGTGACCACACGGGAAATTTCTTGGGGTCATATCTTCTATCACACTGGGGCTTGTCGGCCTCTAGGCACCATGGGGGTGCCGGCGAGGATGCGTGCCCGGCGTGGTGACGCTGGTGGACGTGGTGGTCATCTTCTTCCAGAGATGGCTGGCTAGATGCTTGGTGATCGGATCTCGAGATCCATCATCTAGTCCCGGCTACGAGTAGGGGAGACATGGTTGCCGGTGAAAACCGAGCCAACGGCAGGCGATGGCGACGTTCTCCTTGTTACCTTGATGGAGGCATCATCGTGTAACTACTGTCGACCCACTCGTGCTGCTCCGGGGGAAACCCTAGGATCTGGTGTTCCAGATCGGACGATGGCGGCACTGCGGTGTCATTTCTCTCTTGGGAGCATTGTTTGTGGAGCAGCACTGGAAGTCAGAGGCGGGAGGTGGAGCGACTTCGTCTTGCACGGAGCTTCGGTGGAGATGCAAAGTCATGCCTGACCAACAGGTGCTACGCTTTGTCATGCCTGGTCGGCAGGTGCTACGCACGAAAGATTTTCCAAGGACTTCAAGCTGTGTCGGCTGGTGGTACTTGGTAGCATGGCGTTGAGGTGTATCAGTGGCGACCGCGACGTGCTCAGCTGTTTGCGCGCAGGGAGAAGGTGCTATTGGGCACCGTGGTGGCGTCGACGATAGCTAGACCGAGCAAGGTTGATGCATCAGTACAGTTCTGAAGATGAAGCGGTGGCAGTTGGCGGGGGCGGCCTCTGAGAGCACGCCGGACCAGTGTGTGCCCCAGACCCGGCAAGTGGCTAGGTTGGGGTCTCAGGTCTTAGATGTTAGGCTTGGCTGCGATGTCTGTTTGGTATTAGGCCCAGGCTATCTGCAGCCCTTCATCAACTGGATAGGTGTAGCGACAGTTTGTTACTTAGACAGCGGCTTAGTCTTACTGTTGTAAGACTTTGTAAGGTCTTGTGAGAATAATTAATAAAGTTGCCGGGGGTCATCCTCCTTTTCTAAAAAAAAAATCTTCTATCACACTAAGTGGGATCATTGATGTGACTACTAGACGTTGGCATGTGGAGAAGCTCAAGCTCCTATCTTTAGTAGACCCATCGGGTCAGTCTCTCAGAGATGCTCATAGGGATAGGATGTTCATGCGTGTGTTCATAGCGATGATTGTATGCATTTTTTTACAGTGTTTTATTTTAACTTTAAAATACACATGAAAATTTTCATAAGCGTAAGTGTCAATACATAACAACATATTGGCCATGCATTTCTAGAAATCTATAATACACATACCATGGGCATTATATATGTTGTCGTCTCTCTTTGTTTCCTTTCGTATTTGTAACACCGAGTTAAAATATTCCCTTGCCTGCATCTCCATTGTGACGTTGCATTGCTCCACGTTGTGTCTCGATGTTGCCACACACCAGGGTCCTCTTTTAGATGAAATCTGATAAAAATAGCTAGTCCTTGTAAGGAGTAAAATACATAATTATAAAGAAGGTTGGTTGGTTATATCTTTGTAGTTTTTTATATACAAAAAACTACTGTAACTAGATAAATAAGTAGAAAACACTTTTATTTTTCTACACTGTCGACCCTATGCAATTAGCAGCATTAAAACAATAATATAATGCACATTGTTAACTTGTGATGGTGGGTAAAATAATCCATTTTGACAAGTTGTGAAAAATATGGTAAAATAACATGTTTTTGATACTCTACAAAGGGGATTCATGTGGAGTGCACACAATCACTGAGCCTTGGCCGAACAACCTAAACGAAAAGTAAAAGCACTACATTTTCTTTAGGAAATGACTTTAGCTCACTCATGAAGATAAAAAACATTTGAACACACCTCGTCATAAAATCCCTCAAAGAGAAAAGAAAATATGATTGAAACATGAAGCTAGCATATGTACATCGATGATTAACTAATGAGGCATGCGCTCAAGATAAAAGGATAAAATGTTGAGTTTTCACTTAAAATCACACCTTGATGAAAACTTTCTTCCATCATCAACATGCCAAATTTTGCAGTTAATGGGGTATATCATAGATCAACATCAAATCTGTTTTTACGACTAGGAATAAGATGGTGATTGAGAAGGTTTTCCCGAAGAAGGCATCTGGCTCCTTCAATTTCCTTGCTTTCTTGCAGCACTGGCACTCACTCTCGAGGCAGCATGATCGTGATCGCCTTGGCCTGATGATGGATGCGCTTTTGGCTTCGACGTGTCGGCTGTCGTCCCCGTAGGGCCACTCTGCGGTAGCCACTAGGTGGCTCTTTTTTCTATTTCTTTTATGCTTTCTTGGGCTTGATTGTGCCGTGGCCCCAGCCGTTATCTGTCGATTGTTGTTCGAACTTGGATCATGTGGACCGTTGCTTTATTTATAAAGCGGGGCGAAAGCCTATTTCAAGGATGGTGGGGTTTCATTCCATGTTCTTTGTTCTTCTAGTGTAGAGGGTTTAGATTTCACATATACCAAGAAGTAATCTTTGTATTCCAAAAAATAAGTTTCAAATAGATTTTAGTGTAATAGCAGTGTTCTACAAATAGTTCATCTATCACCAATCATATGTAAAAATTCCGTCCGTGTGCTCTTAGATCTGCCGCAACAAAGTAGATTTGTTTTTGTCATCACTAATTCACTACAAAGGTGCCCAGTCCGATCAGATTGTCGTCATTACGAGGTACCCAGTCTGACCCACCAAGTGCATTCAGAGTCATATGCCAGACCATCCTCACGAAGTCACACTTCAGCAAGACGTGGTTTACCGTCTCGTCACGATGATCACAGAGAGGGCAAAAACCTCCTGATGTGGCAACCCCCTCCGGGCTAGACGGCCTGAGGCCCAACACTTATTCTCAAGCCCAGGCACGCAAAGAACCCTCGCGCCCATTAAACTTTGTGGCATAGGCAGATCTCACCGAGAAGGAGCCACCCTTCTCCCACACCAACATATAGTGTCTGGCGACCCCATGGTGACCTTCACATTCGCAATTCGAGCCCAGAGCGACAAGAACTCCGGAAGGGCGTCCATACCCATCTCTGGCCCCACATCAGCCGCCCAAGCTCCAGCGTGCAACGCCAAGGATACTGATCGTGAGGAGCGAACTTTCTTGGTGTGGCAAGCTAAGGGCTCCGAGACGTTCCTTTCAAAAAAAAATTCACCTGAGACGTTTCCAAGCCGGCAACTCCGCCCTCAACAACGCAGAGGAACCCCCAGACCCCCCACCCAGAGAAGAGAAGGCGGCGAGGAAGAAGAAGAGCGCGGAGAAGGCGGCGGCTTTGGAGTGGGCGAGGAAGATGTTGGGAGCCCAGGGCGATGACCGAGGAAGACGTCGCGGCAGCGGCCGTGTACAGAGCCAAGGCGGAGGAGGCGCGCAGGAGCCATGAGCGAAGGGAGCAGCACGACGCCGTGACCAGGTGGATCGCCACGGGAGACCCCGAGGCCGTCCAGCGCTGCAACCAGTGGATGGAGCAGGACATTGAGGCCATGAGGCTCAAGGACATCGACCCCACCGAGGATCTGTCGGACTGGGAGGCCGTCGAAGCCAAGAGGTATCGAGAATTCTGGGAGTTTCTATGGGCCGACTCCTTCGGCTCCTGGGAGGACACCAGTAAGCAAACCCAAATCCCCTCCCCCCTCTTGATCATTTGCTCCTGGATTAATCTCTGCTAAGCATCTTGATTGGTTGACATTGATCTGCAGCACCTATCCTGCCCATGCGTTACACGGACGACAAGCCTCCGCGCGGTACGGCCTACCCCGTGCGAACTCTGCAGGTCTTCTCGGTCAGCGTTGCAGCCATCAAAGGTGGATTGGACTGGCCTCTGGATGTGTATGGTGTCGTCGCCGCACGCGACTCGTTGGATCACAATCGCAACATTATCTTCCACCGCACTAGGGATAACTGCCAAACCATTGACAAGAAGGTTCGTATTCTCCTCGCTGAATTAATGTTATTTGGTGCCATATTATTGTTGCCTCCATGATGTTACTTCTATAGGGATATATATACTCTTAGGCTTTCTGGAGATGAAATACACATATCCCTGGCATTGACTCTCTCCAAACTATTATTTCACCTACTATACTAATTAATATCAATACAGATACACATAAGTTTGCACGAAAATGCTTTGTGTACGATGAAAAGCTGTCCAACCTGTGTACGACGCTCATCCAGGCCACATATATAATATAACATATGCAATGGATGGTGAACATAAACTGCGGTACCATTGTCGGACAAAATTGAGATATCACAACTCAAGTTTGCGGGAGTCTGTGATATTGTTACGAAGTTCCATGCATACACTGGTGATTGTAAAATAGCCATGGCAAATCTGATCGCTACTCGGAACTTGCTTTATGAAAAAAAAAATGCTAGTAGCTATATACCAAATGATCAATCCATGAAGTATGGATAAGTCTCCTAGTGTAACAAAAAAGTTCTAAGTTCTCAAAGGATTTCACATAACAAATCAACATGGAGATGAAATACATAGTCTGTTTTCAAGTCTTGTTATATATATCCACGTTCAAGTTTGAATAATCAATGTGCATTTCTAATATGACTTAGTGTAGCTTTCTTCCAGGTATAGGAGTATCCTATGGAGTAGTGCCTGCAACTTTTACCCTCTCTTGACTGTTTCCCTTTGGGAATTGTCCCTCAGTTTGTTTGTGACCAGCATTCATTTCCTATGTACTTGATAATTTTTTGTGTTCTCTTGTGAAAATGCTCTAGTGTTGTTTGGAATCTGATCTCTTAGATATTATTAGTTGCAGAGTATATATGCACACCAAGAAATGCCCCTTTTTTGTTTGCCTCTAAAGCGTTTGCATCCCGTACATAGTTTTGAAGTGTATGTTTTGACAGTGATGTTCAGCTCTTGCTTCTTCTTTTGCTTCAATCTACATATTATTTGTTTAAAATGCAAGGGTTTTAAAGATTTGAAATGCTCGCTGACCCAACTCAAATTCATTGGCTCTTACCTCCAGCAAATTCTGCCTTTTCTGTGTTTGCTACCCACATATGTTTAATTCAAGCTCTTGTTATTAAGTCTAGCTTAAGTGGTTTACTTGTCAATGGACGCATTTTTTCTTGACATCAGCTTAGATTGGTTATATTCGCACCAGTCTTGCTCAAGATAAATGATTCATAACTTACATTCTGAATTTTGCATGCAGAATCCATGTCTGAGACTGACAGGTCCTACCCGCGCTGTTGTTGTTGTGGATCCTGTGTACTTTGAGGTTAACTTGCGAGTAAAGGGCAAAACTGAATCTGGGGATAGAGATTTGAGCTATCTGGCTGTTTATTATCGTGATTCTGGCTCTAGCGAATCGTACGCGTTTAAAAATGTCAGCACTAGCAAGCTTAGCACAGTGGCATTGATGTTGGGTGATATTGTTCATTCAGTGGAGGCCACCATCAGTGTGAGAGTGGTTCGTGGGGAATGGCCGGAAGGTTGTAGAGGTCTAATTTTTGCCAATACCGCCAGTATCGACGCCCAGAAAATTGAGTTGCTTGCGTTCGGAGATGATAAGTTGCCTGTTGTAGCTAATGGCACGATAAAGCTTTCACGGCGTGTTGTATCTGTTGAAGCTGATGGAGAGTTGAGAGTCTGTGTCATGGCAAGTAGCCTGGAGGATCAAACTGTTGAGAGAGATTCAGAAGCATTCAAAGCCAAGAAAGCCTCCAGGAGCAGGCGAATACTTGAAGTTCACTCTTGTAAGTTGGAAGTCACCATCGCATGGTCTTTTGTCCCGAACTAGCAAAGACTGTCTGGGTTTTGTTGCTGGATGATTGTTATTGCCCTACTGATGGCCTCTGGTTTATCTCAAAGTGGTACCTGTGTGTTGGATGTTAGTTGTATCCTGGTTAGATGTGTCTTGACTAGTACTATGTAGTGTGGGCAAGCTAAGATATTTGACTATGTAATGTAGTGTCCCGGTTAAATTTGTCTTGACTAGTATGTAATGTGGGCAAGCCAAGATATATTTGACATGTAATGTGGACAAATTAAGATATGTAATTGACTATGTAATGTGGACAAATTTAAGATATGTATTTGACTATGTAATCTCTTGGAGGCACGGGTGAAGGGGATCACAAATGAGAATGGGGATCGGCATTCTGGGGGGGTGGCTCTGCACTGCAGCGTCCCTTGAGCCAGGCACCTTGTCTTCTGGCTGTGCCAAGCGCGGCGCTGCTGCATGGTTGGGGCAGGTGGAGCTGTGGCTCGGAAGGGTGTCGTTGGGTGTGCCTGTATCGGGAGCACAACCAAGAGCTCCAAGGCGTTTGGCTTTGCTTTGTGGGCGTCAAAATATTCATCCCTCGGCCTCTGTTTCCTTGCCTCCTGGGTGCTGTTCCTGGGTGTGGAGCATGCCAGTTTGCGACAGTGCAGGGGCAGAGGGAAGCTGGCAGGTTGTGACACTACATAATCAGGGCATGGCTGCTGGGTTGAATGATTGTATAGGTGTGTGTATTGGCTCAGGGAGCGGCTGATGTGAATGAGGCTGCGCAAATGAAGGTGAGGGGTGATGCAGTTGTGGCCACAGAAATTCGAAAAGACATGGAACAAGCTTGAGCTGATCTATCATGTCTCGGATGAAGAAGCCAGTGTTGTGCAACAGAAAGAGTTGAGCTGGATGAGTTGCTTTGTTGCGAGTAAGTTACGTGGCTATAGAGGTCAAGAATCACATGGATTCGAGAGGGGGGATCGCAACACGACCGACCTTTTTTCACCGGAAGGCCACTTGGAGAGCAAATAAGAATCGCTTAGCTTATTTGAAGAACGGAACAGACCAGATTGTTAATGATCAGAAAACAGATGGCAAGAGACTTCTTTGCTCATCTACACACCAAGTACCAATAAGTTAATGCGGAGATAATTCTGAATCTGGTGCACCAAAAACTGAGTCCTGAGATGAATCAAGATCTCTGTAAAGATTTCACTGATAAAAGAAATAAGCGATGCCATTTTTCAAATTGGGCTGTTAAAAGCACCTGGTATGATGCTTCTGTCAGCAAAACTGGGTATCACGAAGGAGGACATCATCAAAGCGGCCAACAACTTATTTTCTACGTGTGAGATCCCGCATGGTGTGAATGAAGCACCTTCTCCTTCTTCTTCTTCTCCTCCTCCTCCTCCTCCTCCTTCTTCTTCTTCCCATCACCACATCTCTCTCTCTCTCTCTCTGCTGTTTCTCTCTCTCATGTCCTTCATCTTATTGCTACATTCTTCATGCTACCAACGAGCAGGCTATTGTTGCTTCAGGTTTGCCTATCTGCTTTAACCACCCATTGCAGATATTATTCATTTGCTCTTTCTTCCCACTTGCGGGGTTATTAATTCCTTCGTTTGTTTCTCGTCATTTAATTTGCTTGTTGACTTCTGATGCAGCAAGGCATCCCACATATGAAAAATTGATGGGATTGGGTTTAAACGAGCGAGGTGGGACTATTATTTTTGTAAGAACCTTCTTTTGCAGTAGAAGCATACCATATCAATTGGCCTCATCCTTCGGGACAGAGGCCTGGTCGAGAGTTCGTGTGGACCAGGCCGAGTTTGGCTCACGTGGATGACTCAAGATGGATGAAACCTGTTTAATATGGTGGACAAACGAAAATTACGTATGCAATCTTGGGAGTAAGAAACGTTTTTACCTTTATTATTATTAGGTATATAGATTAATAATGAAAAAAATGCACAATGAAACATTTTCTTTATTAATGAAAGGAAAAATAAAATAAAAATAAAAGGAAAAGAGAAAAAATAAAAAACAAAAAACAAAACCAAAAAAACGCAGGAAAAAGAAAGAAAGAATGAGAAATAAAACCCCAAAAGTTAAATTAAATAATAAATAAAACAAAACAAAGAAAAACAACCTGTATCTACTACCCATATAAAAGCACAAAAGGGCGGAGAACCAAATCATCTCAACCATTGAAACATGTTGATCTAATGGTCCAAATCGTCTCATAGCATCAAACGCGTTTGACACTCTAATTACCCACCACTGCCATTGGTTATTACCACGATTAGCTTATACCAAAAAAAAGACCCTATCTAGGCAGAACACCCGATACCCTTCCCACCATAGGCCCGCCCACGATCCCCAGTTCCTCTCGCAAACCACCAGGTCGTTTCGTCCCCCACCCCCACCAAGCCCCTTCCCTGCCACCACCATTCTCTTCCGCTTGCGTGCTCTTGCCCTGCCCGCACCTCCCACATGCTCTTCACGGCCGCTGCCTGGCCCGCCTCAGAAAACCGGCACCATCATGCGACCTGCTGTGGATCCGCTTGAGGGGTAGACGGAGCAGGACGCGCTCACGGCAAGTCGGACAAGGAGGGCTTCTACGCCGCCGCGCTCTGGATGCACGAGCAGCACCTGCGTACGCTCGCCTGCAACGTCGCCGCGGTCGCGCTCGCCGAGTTCAGCTACCTCAAGGACTTCCCCGAGCTGCTGTTCCGCCTCCTCTGCGGCCCCGACGTGCGCGCGTTCGCCAAGGCCGGCGCCGTGGCCGACAAGGCGCGCAGGAAGGCCATCTCTGGAGAAGAGTACAAGAAGCTCGTCGTGTACGACTAGATCCATGCATTGTCAGTTGTCATCATCAGCTTAGTTGGTCTGTCGTGCTGTTGGATTATCTTGTTTTCAGAATTGTGAACAGCAGGCTTTGCTGTGCTTGATTAGCTTATTTTCTGAAATAAAACCAAAATCATGCTTGACTATAATTATCCAGTGTACTGATCGATCATCATTTGGAGTGCATTAATTTATTGGCTGTGCCTTGTGAATTCCGAAGAGCTTAGCTGCCCATGTTGTTCTTGGTTAGCATAGTCTTTTGTGCATTTGTACCTTATTACCCTGTTTGCTTTCCAATGTCATTAGGAATTCTCTTGATTGCAACCTTATATACTTGCATAGAGCTGCATGTATGCACTGAATTGAATTCTGAATTCGGACCTGGTAAAAGTGGTCTGAACTGTTGCCTGTTTTATCATCGTGCCACTAATGCGGAAACTTACTCATCGTTCATGTGTGCATTTGGGTTTCTCTGTTTTATCACGCAGCTTTGGCAAATTCATTCTGTAGTGTAGGAACACGTTTCTAAACACAGTGTCCTTAAATGGCCTGCACATCCTCTATGCATACATGTGGTTGGTACTGTTATTAATCTGTAACTGAGCCGAAGGTTGAAGCTAGATGCAGAATCTCTCTTATGTAAGAAAAAATCCATGCTGGTTAACTTCACATTTAACAGTGGAGTTACTAAAACTAAATTTTGGCGAACAGTGGTAAAATGGATATACTATGCAGTAGGCATAAGTGGAGAGCTGCATGTATGCAATGAATTCAGGGTACGGCATGCCAAAACTGCAGAAACTTTTTTTTTGAGAGTCGCGCAAATACAACTTTGGCAGAGAATGGATGACTCGTATTGTCATCAGTCAGGAAATGAACGAAATAAACTTTGGCAGTACTACAAATTATAAATTTTATTAATTATAGCTTTTCTGAAACCTCAAATGCACATTCGTTGGTAATATTTTTGACTTTTACAATTGGATATTCTATCTATACTCCCCGCAAAATAAAAGGATATTTTATCTAGACACACGTGAATTTCACGTGCAAGCTTACTAGCATATCAAAAGCTTTACAGATCAGCATAATTGGTGCTGATTTCATATCTTGAAGTTTTTTATTCCTGTAACGAAAATATT